GATGGTAGCTGCAGAGTGGGAGGTGAGTTATCACCGGGGCTCCGCCAGCCACCGTCTCAGTTCTCTTCACAAAGTTTTCCTCACCAGTCTTTTCCCAGGCACAAGCCCACTCTGCTGCCGCCTCTACCCAGAGATCAAGGAGGGTGGCTGCCACGGCAAATTTTTGCATTGGCCCTTTAAATGTCTCTTTGCATCCCCAGCCACCTGTCTCTGGCAGAGAGCGCCCCTAAGCTTTTCGGGGTTGTGTTTTCTCTGTGCGTTTTCCTGGTTTCAGCTGTTGTAGTCTAGGGGTCCCTGTTTATGGTTCAGACCCTGTTCTCAGGGGGATCCAACTGGCCGTTTCAATGTCCCCCTGGTGTGGGTGCCCGTGGGTGCCCAGCCCACCCTCTCGAGCCTCCACCGCACTTCTCACCGGTTGGGATGTGTGAGAGTTGAATCCACTGTCTGTCCGCAGCTCCAAGGCTCCTCTCCCTCTATCGTTCCATTGTTTTCCACGTGATTTCTCCACTATTTAGTCGCAATTCCTGTTTGGTCTTGGGAGGAGGTCAGCGTGACTCCCATCCACTCCTCCGCCATTTAGCTCCCCGCCTTTTTTTAAATTTAAATGATAGTTTTGCTGGGTAGAGTAATCTTGATTGTAGGTTCTTTTCATCAGTTTGAATATTTCTTGCCAATTCCTTCTGGCCTGCAAAGTTTCTGTTGAGAAATCAACTCATAATCTTATGGGAGCTCCCTTGTAAGTAACTGCTTTTCTCTTGGTGCTTTTAAGATTCTCTCTTTGTCTTTAACTTTTTCTATTTTAATTATGATGTGTCCTGGTGTAGGCCTCTTTGAATTCATCTTGTTTGTGATTCTCTGCTCTTCCTGGACTTATATGTATATTTCCTTCACCAGGTTAGGGAAGTTTTCTACCTTGAATCTCCTGTTTTTCGCTCACTCTTCTCCTTCTGGCACCCCCATGACGTGAATGTTAGTACACTTGAAGTTGTCCCAGAGGCTCCTTACACTGTCTTTAATATTTTGTATTCTTGTTTTCTTTTTGCTGTTCTGATAGAGTGTTTTCTGTTTCCATATATTCCAAATCACTGATTTGATTCTTAGGTTCATCTACTCTACTGTTGATTCCCTGTAAATTATTCTTCAGTTAGTGTAGCCTTCATTTCTTATTTCTTTAAAAAGACTTACTTACTTAATTAATTTATTTATAGAGAGAGGGGACGGGAAGGAGAAAGAGAGGGAAACATCAAAGTGTGGTTGCCTCTCGCACGCCCCCTACTGGGGACCTGGCCTGCAACCCAGGCATGTGCCCTGACTGGGAATTGAACCAGCAACCCTTTGGTTCGCAGGCCTTCACTCAATCCGCTGAGCCACACCAGCCAGGGGTAATTTCTGTTTGTTTAAAAATGGTGTAAAAGTGCTCACTAAGTTCATCAAACATCCTTATAGCCAGTGTTTTGAACTATGCGTTGAGTAGATTGCTTGTCTCCATTTTGTTGAGTGTTTTTTTTCTGGAATTTTTTTTTTTCTGTTCTTCCATTTGTGGCATGTTTTTTTATGCCCTCATTTTGGCAGCCTCCCTGTGTTTGTTTCTATGTATTAGGTAGAGCTGCTCTGTGTCTCCTGGGCTTGGTAGAGCGGCCTAATGTAGTAGGTATCCTGTAGGGTCCAGTGGCACAGCCGCCCTCCCTGTTTACCCAAACTGGGCACCCCAGTTGCACCCCACCCGCACCATGTGGGCTGTTGTAGTTGAGACTTGACTGCTATTGGTACATCAATGGGAGGTATTTACCCCCAGGCCAACTGGCTATGACCAGCAGCCACCATGGAGGATCAGCTGTGCATGGACCCACCCCATATAGAAGGACTTATGTCAGTGGGGCTCTCATGCCCCTAGAGTCCGCCCCTTGAATGTGTCACTTGTAGAGGTTGTTTGGTGGTGCTTTGATGTGGTCTGAGGCAGTCCACTGGGTGCACTGGCTCTGGGCTTCCCAGCAGGTGCAGGTCAAGGTCATCCACCCTTGCGTTCTTCCCCGGGCCACATGGCATGAGCTGCAAAGCAACCTGCAGATGGCTGCTGCTTGTGCTGGGCCTAGAGTTGCACAGATGAGGCCAAGCTGTGAACCAAGGCCAGCTGCTTGTGCCAGGGCTTGGGCCACTTAGCAAGAGGTACAGGAAACGCTGCCTGTTTGAGAGATTTTTAGGAAAGTCTGAAGCATGAGGCACGACAAGACATTGATATGGAAAAGCCACTGGAAACAGTTTGCGTGGGCCTGTAAGGCGGGTGAGGCGACATCTCAGGAAATCACCATGGCAGGGAATACAGTGACTCATATATGGCACCCTTTTACCGGCTTTGTTGGAGAAAGGCTCAGGAAAGTAACAAGGGCCTCTGCCAACAGTCCTGTCTGGCTGAAAGCTGCTCTTCCACCCCTCCCCCCAGCTCCCACTCTGATGCCAGACAATTCAGTTCCTCTTCATATCTCCCTGGTGTCTTTTGAGGTGCTGTCCCAGTACTGGAGCTCAGAAGGAGTGAGCCAGAGTAAGCCTGTTTCTGGAGTCCCAGATGTCCCTTTAAGAGGAACATCTGGGACTCCAGAAACCCTCCATCTCACTCAGCCACAATCCCCACTGGTTTTTACAGGCAGAAGTTATGGAGACTTCTCTTCCTGGCCAGGAACCATAGGTTAGGGGGCTGGTGTGGGGCTGGGACGCCTTCCTCCTCCCAGGCAACCCTCACAGCCAGGATATCTCTCCTGAAATTTATCCACCATGCGTGAGTGTGGGACCAGCCCATTCCTTGTCTCCGCCCTTCTACCAGTCTTGTTGTGACTGTTTATTTTTTTACATATATTTTATTGATTATGCTATTAGTTGTCCCGTTTTTTTCTCCCCTTTATTCCCCTCCACCCTGCACCGCCCCTCCCCCCAGCACTCCCCCTCCTTAGTTTATGTCCATGGGTCATACATATAAGTTCTTTGGCTTCTCCATTTCCTGTAATATTCTTAACCTCCCCTTTCCTATTTTGTACCTACTATTTATGCAGTTTATTCCCTGTACCTTTTCCCCCATTCTTCCCCCGCCCCCTCCCCTCTGATCTCCGTTTCTATGATTCTGCTGCTGTTCTAGTTGTTTGCTTAGTTTTTGCTCTTGTTTTTGTTTTCCTTAGGTTCAGCTGTTTGCTGTCATTTTACTGTTCATAGGCTTTGGTCTTCTTTTTCTTAGATAAGTCCCTTTAACATTTCGTATAATAAGGGCTTGGTGATGATGAACTCCTTTAACTTGACCTTATCTGGGAAGCACTTTATCTGCCCTTCCATTCTAAATGATGGCTTTGCTGGATAGAGTAATTTTAGATGTAGGTCCTTGTCTTCTGTGACTTTGAATGCTTCTTGCCTGCAAGGTTTCTTTTGAGAAATCACCTGATAGTCTTATGGAACTCCTTTGTAGGTAACTGTCTCCTTTTCTCTTGCTGCTTTTAAGATTCTCTCCTTATCTTTAATCTTGGGGAATGTAATTACGATGTGCCTTGGTGTGTGCTTCCTTGGGTCCAGCCTCTTTGGGACTCTCTGAGCATCCTGGACTTCCCGGAAGTCTATTTCCTTTCCAGATTGGGGAAGTTCTCCTTCATTATTTTTTCAAATAAGTTTTCAGTTCTTTGCTCTTCCTTTTCTCCTTCTGGCACCCCTATGATTCGGATGTTGGAACATTTAAAGTTTTCCCAAAACTTCCTAAGCCTCTCCTCATTTTTTTTTTTGAATTCTTGTTTCTTCAATCCATTCTTGCTGAATGTTTATCTGTTCCTTCTGCTCCTAGCCGTTGATTTGAGTCCTGGTTTCCTTCCCTTTACTCTTGGTTCCCTGCATATTTTTCTTTATTTCACTTTGCATAGCCTTTGCTTTTTCCTCCATTTTGCAATCATACCCAACCAATTCAGTGAGCATCCAGATTACCAGTGTTTTGAACTGTGCATCTGATAGGTTGGCTCTCTGTTCACCACTTAGTTCTGTTTTTGAGCTTTGATCTGTTCTTTAATTTGGACCATATTTCTTTGTCTCAGTGGGCCTGTTACATTGGGAGGTGCAGAGCCTTGGGTATTCGCCAGGGTGGGGCAGCCCGGGTTGCTGTGTTATGACTCTGTGTGGGGGACGGGTCCGAGAAGGAACAACAGCACTTGTTTGGCTCCCGGCGGGCTTTCAGTCACTTACCCCGTTACCAACATGCAAGTTGGGCCCTTCTAGTGCTGATTCTTGGGTGGGTGGGTTTGTGTGCATTCTAGGACCCTGTGGGTCTGTGCAGTGGACTCTCCTGTGAGGCTGGGAATTTCTCCTGCCACTGCAACCCCAACAGGTTTTTACCTCCAGAGGTTTTGAGGCTTTCTTTTCCCACACTGGAACCCTGGATTGCATGGTCTGTCTTGCTCCCCAGCTGTTCCTCACAGTTTATCCACACGCAAATGTGGGACCACCCAGTCTGCCAGCCCCTGCCGCACCCATCCGGCCCTCCCGCCGTCGCTCTGCCGTTCGTCCTCTATGCCCTGGCTGCCCATCTCTGCCCCTCATACCGGTCTGTTTCTTTAGCTCCTTGGTTTTCAGACTTCCATACAGTTCACTTTTATGGCAGTTCTGGTGATTTTTTTTGTTTTTAAATTTGTTGTTGTCCTTCTTTTGGTTGTGCGAGGAGGCAAAGTGTATCTACCTATGCCTCCATCTTGTCCAGAAATTTATTCCGTGACCTCTTCTTTAAATCCCTACTTGTAGGATTTCCATTCAGTCAGGTTTCAGTAAGTTGTCAGTGATGGTGTTTTGTATTTTAGTTGTAATTTTGATGTTTTGATTTTAACATCAAATAAACTGATTACTTTTGCTTCTGTGTCAGAGATCCAAATTCTGGTTCTCAGTAACACTAGTATAATTGCTGATTTGCTTTACCCTACAGGCAGTATAGAATAATCTGAATTATTTCTTTTATTTTACAAGGATACTTATGTTTATTTTTTCAGGAATCAGTGATGTTCAGGGATGTGGCAGTAGACTTTTCTCAGGAAGAGTGGGAATGCTTGGACCCAGCTCAAAGGGACTTGTACAGAGATGTAATGCTGGAGAACTACAGCAATCTGCTGTCAATGGGTAAGTTCATCTATACCAATAATTTTGAGTTCTCCTCTTGAATGTCTCTTCCACAGTGAATTTTTTAGGTGCCTTTTGGGACACCTGTTGAATTGCTGCTCCCTATTCCCAAATAAATGGTTGGGGATGGAATGAAAAGGAGGAGTAGAAATAAGAATCTCCATTTGGCTATGGTTGAAGCTTCATCACCTTCTTTCTTTGGCTGTTCCTGTAGTGGCATCTATTTTTTGATTATAAAGGGAGTGGATCTTATTTAAGGATTTGATTTACCCACAGCATAATCATGTTTCATATCTTTTCTTATGAGCAGGACTTTACATACCTAAGCCTCAAGTTATCTCCTTATTGGAACAAGGGAAGGAGCCATGGATGGTTGGCAGAGAGCTGACAAGAGGTCTGTGTTCAGGTGAGTGAGAAATGATGGAATATAGGAAACAATAGCCCTGACCCCCAAGAACAGACTCTGTCCTGGCCCTGTGGCCCTTAAGCCTGACTTCTAAGTATAGAAAGGCAGTCATAGATAGTAGGACCCTGGCAAGGGGACTGGGGGAAGACTGGACTAGGGAGACTTGAGGAGATACTGAATTGAGGCTTTGGGGAGAGAACTGCCAGTGGGATCCCATAGCTGCATCATACCCCATACTTCAGCAATGGTCCAGCTCAGGCAGATCACTCCCCTGAGTGGTAGCAACTTGACAGGACTTGACAAGTCCAGGAAGGACTTGTCCCCACTCTTTGAATGTCTAAGCCTGCCTGCAGAGTGCAGAGTGACTAGATTTACAACTGAAGGAGACAGCCACAAACAGTAGATTCCTGGTGGCCTTGAACAGACTGCCTAAGTTCAAATGGGGTCAACATCTGACATTACCAGATGTGGATCCAGAAACAAAAAACAGCAGTAAATAAGAGAGGCTACTGAGATGAAATCCACTGTGTTCCTCTCCATGATTTGTGATATTTTCTTTACTACGTAGCTTTTTAACATCCATTTTGGGCCCATCAAGTTTGTGCATATTAAGTCATTAGATTTTATGCTAGTAGTTTATTTGTCTCCTTTATATAATAGCCTTAGTCTCTTTACAGCCCTATTATTACTTGTTCATTTGCTGTTGATAGTGGGATTGCAGGGGGAAATTATTTTGTAGATGTGGGTTTGTTTCCTGGGCTTTGTAGTTTTGTTCTGGCAGCACTTGCACAAAAACACACAAGATGTGGTGGGCAAAATGACCCTCAGTCAACCAGCTGGAGGGAATGGCCCATCAAAAAATGAGAAAACAATAATCAAAGCACAATTACTTCCAGAGAGCCAACATAAATAGCATAAAAGGCATCCAAAGAGCATCAAGTTCAGGAGATCAGGAAGACTGCTTCACTGAATCTCACAGGTATCCTACCATAGAATTTTACACCATAAAGTCAGGAAGTCAAAACAGATCAATTTAAGAATCAGAAGTAAAAACAAAGTGTCTCAGAAATAATGGGAAGACAAAGAAACACCCCACCAATCAAAGGGAAAGGAGGAATCCACAGAAAGAGAACTAAATGAAATAGAGGGAAGTAAATGATTAGACCTTGTGTTCAAAATAATGTTTATAGGAAACTCGATGAGCTTAGAGAGAATTACTAAAAACTATAGTGAAACTATGAAGAACTTACCGCATACTATATCAGCATGAAAAAAGACATAGAAATATTAACAAGAAGCAAGAAAAAATGAAGAATACAATTTCTGAATTGAAGAACACCATAGAAGGAATAAAAAGCAGACTAGATCAAGCAGAGGATTGAATCACTGAGGTACATGAGTAGGAAGAAAAAAGCTCCCAGAAAGAACAGGAAAATGAAAAAAGACTCAAAAATAAAGAAGAGGTGTTAAATGAAATGCAAGACAACCTGAAAGGTAATAATATATGTATAATAGGGATATCAGAAAAGGAGAGGTGCAAGGGATAGAAACCCTGTTTCAAAAAATGATTGAGAACTTCCATAAGATGAGAGGAAAAGCCACACAAGTCCAAGAAGCACAGTGACCCATTCAAGAGGAAGCCAATGAGGCCCACTCCAAGACACATTGTAATTAAAATGGCAAATATCATCAAAGACAAAGATAGAATCCTAATAGCCCTGATAAGGCTAGCAGTTGTCTTTTCAACAGAAACATTACAAGCCAGTAGGGAATGGGAAGAAATACTCCAAGTAAGGAAAAGCAAAGGCTTGCAACCAAGACGACTCTACCTCGTAAGGCTCTCAAATAAAATGGAAGGTGAAATAAGGAGTTTCTGAGAGAAAAGATGGCTAAAAGTATACACCTCCAACAAACCAGCATTCCAACAATATGCTAAAGGGACTGGTTTAAGAAGATGAATAAAAAGAGTGAGAAAGAGAGGAACACATTGGAAAGGGAAACAATGAATACGTGGCTATAAATAATAACTTCAAAATGTAAATGGCTTAAATGCTCCAGTCAAGAGACATAGGGTAGCTGAATGCATAACAAAACATGACCCACATATATGCCTCCTACAGGAGACCCACCTCAGAACAAGAGACCTACACAGACTGAAAGTAAAGTGATAGAAAAAGTACTCTAAGCAAATGGACAAGAAAAAATGCTGGGGTAGCAATACTTAGACAAAATAGATTTCCAAACAAAGGCCATGAAAAGAGACCCAGAAGGACACTTCATAATAGTCAATGGAAGAATTGATAAAGATGACATAAACATTGTAAACCTATATGAAGCCAACAGAGAAGTACCCAAATATATAAGGAAAATTTTGGAGGACTTCAAGAAAGATATAGACGGCAACACACTGATAGCAGGGGATTTTAACACTCCACTGTCAACAGTGGATAGCTCTTCCAATCAAAACATCAACAAGGATATTTTGGACCTGAACAATGCATTAGATCAATGGACTTAACTAATATATAGAACCTTTCATCCCAAGGAAGCAAGATACACATTCTTTTCAAATGCTCATAGAACATTTTCCAAGATAGACCACATGATAGGACACAAATCAAACCTCGACAAATTCAAGAAAATTGAAATCATAACAAGCATATTCACAGACCACCAGGGCTTGAAACTAGAAACCAACCTCAAGGAAAAAATTAAAAAACATTCAAACTCATGGACACTGAATAGCATGTTACTAAACAATGAATGGGTCTATAACGAGATCAAAAAAGAAATCAAAATGTTTCTGGAAACAAATGAAAATGAACACACAACAGTCCAAAACCTGTGGGGCACTGCAAAGACAGTCCTAAGAGGGAAGTTCATAGCAATACAGGCCTACCTAAAAGAGATAAAAACATAACAAATCAATGACCTAACCCTATATCTACAAGAACTAGAGGAACAACAGCAAAGCCCAGAGCTCATAGAACGAAGGAAATAATCAAGATCAGAGCAGAACTGAAAAACATGGTGACTAAAAGAACATTTCAAAGGAGTGATAAATGAAGGAGCTTGTTTTTTTGCAAAGAATAACAAAATTGACAAGCCTTTAAGCGGACTCACCAAGAAAAAGAGGGAGAGGACCCAAGTAAATAAAATCAGAAATGAAAAAGGAAAAATTACAACTGATACCAGAGAAATAAAAAGGATTACAAGGAATTACTATGAAAAATTATATACCAAGAAACTTGAAAATCTGTGTAAAATGGACAAATTTCTAAAAAATAAGTGTCCAACATTGAATGAAGAAGTAGAAACACTGAACAAACTGATAACAGCTGGTGAAATTGAACCAGTAGTCACAAAACTCCTGACACACAAAAGCCCTGGACTGGATGGTTTCACAGGAGAATTTTACAAAACATTTAAGGAAGAGCTAATCCCTGTCCTTCTGAGTATTCCAAAAAAAAACAAGAAGAGGGAAGACTCCTAAATTCTTTTTTGGTGCCAGCATCATCCTAATCCCAACACCAGATAAAGACACAAGCAAGAAAGAAAACTACAGGCCAATATCACTGGTGAACATAGACACTGAAATCATCAACAAAATATTAGGCAATCGCATGCAGCAATACGGTAAAACCATTATCCACCACAATCAAGTGAGGTTCATCATAGGGGTGCAAGCATGGTATAATATGCATAAATAAACAAATATAATACATTGCATAAACAAAAGGAAAGACAAAAATCACACGATCATATCAATAGATGCAAAAAAAGTATTTGGTAAGGTATAGCGCCCATTTATGATAAAAACACTCAGGAAAATGGGAGTATAGGGAGCATATTTCAATATAATAAAGACCATATATGAAAAACCTACAGCCAATATCATACTCAATGGGCAAACGCTAAAAGCTTTCCCCCTAAGTTCGGAAACAAGACAAGGTTGTCCACTTTTACCATTTCTATTAAACAAAGTATTGGAAGCCCTAGCCACAGAGATCAGACAAGGAAAAGAAATAAAAGGCATCCAAATTGGAAAGGAGGAAATAAAACTGTCATTGTTCTCAGATGAGATGATAGTGTACATAGAAAACCCTATAAACTCCAAAAAAACTACTCAACCTAATAAGTGAATTTGGCAAAACTGTAGAATACAAAGTCAGTATTCAGAAACCAAAGGCATTTTTGTACACCAACAATGAAATACCAGAATCAGAAATCAGGATAAAGAAATCCCATTTGCTATAGCAACTAGAAAAATAAAGTACCTAGGAATAAACTTAAGCAAGGAGGTAAAAGACCTCTACTCAGAAAACTGCACAACACTTGACGAAAGAAATTAAGGAAGACACAAATAAATGGAAGCATGTACCTTGTTCATGGATTGGAAGAATTAATATCCTCAAAATGTCGCTACTACCAAAAGCATTTTATAGATTCAGTGCAATCCTTATTAAAATACCAATGACGTATTTCAGAGATATAAACAAATATTTCAAAAATGTATGTGGAGCCATAAACGAGCCAGAATAGGTGCAGCAATTTTGAGAAAGAATAGCAAAGTAAGAGGGATCACAATATGTGACATGAAACTACATTACAAGCTACTGTAATCAAAAAGTTTGGCAATGGAATAACAACAAGCACATAGATCAATGGAACAGATTTGAGATCCCAGAAATAAACCCATGTCACTACGGTCAATTAATATTTGACAAAGGGGGAAGAAAAATAAAATGGAGTAAAAAATAGCCTCTTCGACAAATATTTTGGGAGATCTGGATACCTACTTGCAAAAGAATGAAATTTTTCCACCAGCTTACACCGTACTGAAAAGTAAACTCAAGATAGATAAAAGCCTTAAATATAAGTTGCAACACCACAAAAGTCCTAGAGGAGAACATAGGCAGGAAACTCTCAGATAACCCACACAAAAATATTTTCACTGGTATGTCCCCTAGAGTAAGGAACATATGGGAAAGTATAGACAAAATACGAAGCTTCATCATTTGATGTCCCATTTGTTGAGACTTCATCAAAATACGAAGCTTCTGCATGGCTTAGAGAAACATGCAAAATGAAAAGGGAACCAACCGTACAGGATAATATATTTGTCAATGATACCTTGGATAAAGGTTTGATCTCCAAAATATATGAAGAACTCACACGACTTCACTCCAGAGACACAACAATCCAATTTAAAAATCAGAAAAGCAGCTGAACAGAGACTTCTCCAAGGAGGATATACAGAGGGCCCAGAGAAGTATGAAAGGATACTTAGTATCACTTGCCATCAGAAAAATGCAAATTAAAACCACAATGACAAATGTATTTAAAAATAAAGAAAGAAAGAAATGCTTGGGAAAAAAAAAACAACACAATGAAATACCACTTCACACCGGTCAGAATGGCCATCATTTACAAATCAAGAAACGACAAGTTCTGGTTAGGTTGTGGAGAAAAGGGAACCCAAGTACACTGTGGGATGCAGACTGGGGCAGTCACTGTGGAAAACCGTGTTGAATTTCCTCAAAAAGCTAAAACGGAAATGCCTTTTGACCCAGAGATTCCACTGCTGGAATTATATCCTAAGAATCCCAAAACACTACTTCAATAGAACCAATGCACCCAAAAGTTCATAGCACAATTTACAATAGCCAAGTATTGGAAGCAACCTATGTGCCCATTAATAAATGAGTGGATCAAAAAACTATGGTACTAGTTTTTTCTATTATAATTCTATTTACATAATAGAATTATGCACAGCAGAAAGAGCGAGCTACTATCCTTCACAACAGCATGGATGGGACTGGAGAACATTATGCTATGTAAAATAAGCTGGGGGGATGGGGGAGACAAATACCATATGATCTCACCTATAAGTGGAACCTAATCAACAAAACAAGCAAGAAATTTACAACCAGCAACATTGAAATAAAGAACTCACTGACAGTAACCAGAGGGGAGGAGTGAAGGAGAGTAATGAGGAAAAGAAGGGGAAGGGTCAAGTCAAGGAATATGTGTAAAGGACCCATGGACAAAGCCAACTTGGGGAAAGATTGAGGGTGGCACGTGGGGGTGGGTGGGGCAGGGGAAAGTGGTGGTGGGAAAATGGGGACAACTGTATTTGAACAATAAAATATAAGTTAAAAAATAAATTATTGAAGAAAGCAGGGTATAGAGGTAATAACTCAGTTGATCAATGAAGAAACACTATCTTTGAGATTTTATGTTGGAAGCTTCCATCAAAACACTAGGCCTGTGAAAAAACTTAATTTTTTAAGCATGAATGTACAAGTGACCTGTTTCCATTCCTCTGTCACTCAATACTCTTCCTATTACTCTTCTCCAACACATCGCTTAATTTCAAGTAGAATGTGCCCTTCACTTCCTCTCCAATGAAAACTTCTACCTGTATTCAAGATGTAGTTCCTTGCTAGATTTTTTTTCCTCTTAAACTCATGTTTTCTGTTACCACTCCCAAAATAAGATTTGTGTCTGGGTGCACACATACATATGTGTATCTGTACTGCTCCTCTTCTCCAAATAATGGTCTTACTTAGAGCTGCTGGCTTTTTTATTCCTGCTGTTGTAGCTACAGCAGAATGAGCAAAGAGGGAATTGTGTGAAAGGAGATCAGCAAAGTAGCAGGATGTGCTATGTGCAGGTAGGAGGGTGGGTGTACCTGTCAGAATTGGGGTTTTGTGGACTTAGTTATGGGCTTTGAATTCTGTTCTGAATAAGGTAGGTGTAAAGCCATTCTATTCGGAATGAGATGATATGAACAGACTGACATGTTTGTAAATGATCACTATAACTCTGAGGTTACTATTTTTGGATTCATTTGTATAGAATTTAGGGAGTCCATGAATCTGAGTGAGGAAAAAAAATGCACCTTTATTTTTACTAACCTCTAAATGAAATGTAGCATTCCTTCCAATTATGATGTATGCAGCAAACCATAGTATTAGTTCTGTGACTTGGACATGAATGGAAATCAGTGTATTTATTTATGTTCATCACTGTTCCATAACTACTGTAGTAGTTGGCTCACTGCGAGGTCTTACTATTACTATTTAATGTGTTAATAAGGAAACTCCAGGAAGAGGGGAAAACCCCTGTGAAATACTTGGTGTGTCTGAAGAATGGAAAGAAAGTGTTGCTGGGCCCCATGAGCAAGTGAGAGTGGAATGTGTGTTGAGATTGGAAAGACAGGTAGGAACCGCATTATTCAACCTTTGCCCCTCATGAGGAGTATGGATTTTGTGTAGTAGAAGGCCATGCCAAGTTTTGGTCCCTGAGTAGAATAAAGAGTGTGAAGGTTGGTGGGGAGACTGGGTTAGGAGGCTACTATGGTGGTTTGCTTTCAGAGATGACTCTGGTTTGAAGTAGAGCATTGTTTGTGGAGGTAGAAGAGGATAGTTTTAAAAGTTACCTAGGAGCTGAACTAGATTAAAGATCATACAGAGAAAGGAGAATAAAAGATTATACTAGAATGAATTCCCTGTTTTTGGCTAGAGATGTTCTAATTGGCTCCATTTTGATGTCTTCAAACCATTTAATTAGTTGAAATTTTTTATTTTTGGTAAGAAATTCTTTCATAATTATACCTGTCAAATACTGAACATTTTATTGAAAGATAATTACAAGCATTTTTCCTCACTCTTCCAGTAATCATGAACTAATGATTATCTCCCCTTTATAGGTAAAGGGGGTTTAGAAAGGTTAAATAGTTGCCTAGGAACACATAATGAGTAAATACGAGTTAGGACTCAGCTCATTAGTCTGCTTCTGTATTTCCATCGCAGTATTTTGTACTTTCTTATTTTCTCTCTGTCTGCCTTAAACTGTAGCTGCCACTCCTTTTAGTCACTGCAAGTGATACATGAGCAAGAGACTCCTAAGATCAGCATCACAAAATTCCAAGGGAAACAGTATTTTCACTTAATACCTAACACATAACATATTCTGCGCCTTCCCTGTCTGCCACTCACATCAAAGTTGCTCAGTATCTTAGACTCCATGTGGCTCATCCTCTGTGATCTCTCTCATATTTCGTCCAATTATCCTTCATTATGGAGACTGTTTTTCTCCCCAGCTAAGTCTGCTGTAGTTTAATTCTGACACTAACTACCCAGAGTTAGCATAGACCCCACAAGTTAACAGCAAAACCCTACACAGTACTGCCCTTACTTCAGATGCCAGCTGCAAGTAATATGGGGTACTCAGACCCCCTATATTTCTGATCAACTGGTTATAAATTTGGGGGTTTACATGACCCCTCCCTGCAGGTTCACTGATTTGTTAGACTGACTTATAGAACTCAGGAAAGATCTATACTTATAATTGTGGTTTTACCATAAAGGATTCCTATGAGGCCAAGGTCCAGTAGGCTTCCAGATGCAGAGATTCAACACCCTCTCCCTGTTGAGTCAAAGTGTATCACCTTTTTATCATTTCAGTATTTTTGCCAATTAGAAAGATCCACTGAGCTTTAGTGTCCAGAATTATTATTGTGATTTAATTAAATTGAGATCAGTGGCCCCTCAATTTCTGATCCCTCTTGTCTCTCCAGAGGTCAAGTAGCTGAAAGTCCCAAACCTCTAATACATGCTTGGTGTATTAGACCCAACATGCTTGGGTCCTTTCTGGTGACCAGTGTCTATTCCAGAGCTATCTTAAGGACCCACTATGTGTGACCTCATCATAATAAAAACACTCCTATCACTCAGGCAATTCCAAAAGTTTTTGAAGTTCTGTGTTATGAACCAGGTTCAAAGGCCAAATTTATTTTTTATCATATTAAGAGCCCAAGAATCTTACCCTATATAGATTTATTCTTCCCAGGAGGCCTTTAATGGAGGTCAGGAAATTATCTACTTTTTGTAATATATAAGTCTATAGTATGGTCATACAGTCTGTTACATACACAAACATGCATGCTTATATAGATATATGTAGAACTAGTCATTTTTCATATGCTCAAGCATTGTATATTTACCAGCTTTTCCTGATGATTCTGATCCACATCAGTATTTGAGCATAATTGTGGTTTTCTACTTCTATAGTCTCTTCCTCTGCCTTCTGTATTATACAGTTATGCACCACATAACAACAGGGATATGTTCTGAGAAAGGCATTGTTAGGTGATTTCATTGCTGTGTGAACATCATAGAGTGTGAACATTATAGAGTGCATTTACACAAACCTAGATGGCATAGATTACTACTGTAATTGTGTGTGCTATACTTTTATAAAGCTGGCAGTGTAGTAGATAAGTTTACACCAGCTTCACCACAAACACATGAGTAATATGTTGCACTACAACCTTAGAACAGCTAGGATGTTATTAGGCAATTGGGATTTTTCCGTTCCATTATATACTATGGGACCACCATTGCATACGTGATCCACAACTGACTGAAATGTCATTATGGTATATATGGCTGTATCTTATTACTTTCTATATGTTTTTTTGTCCATTCTTCAGATTAAACAGATACACTTGACAACTATATGTTATTTACTACTAGATAATTTCACTTTAATTTTTTCATTTCTGTTATAAAACTTTAACTTTTCACAAATGAGTGGAAAGAATACTTACCATTTTATTTTCTTTCAGATCTGGAATCAATGTGTGAAACCAAGTTATTATCTCTAAAGAAGGAAGTTTATGAAATAGAATCATGCCAGAGGGAGACAATGGGACTTACAAAATATGGCCTTGACTACTCCAATTATAGAGATGTTTTGGAATATGGAAGCCATCTTGAAAGACAACTGTTACAAAATGGGCATTTCAGTCAAGAAATATTTACTCATGGATATGTGCCCACATTTATTCAACAGACATTCTTTACTCTACATCAAATAATTAGTAATGAAGAGAAACCTTATGAATGTAAGAAATGTGGAAAAGTCTTTAGTCAGAATTCACAATTTATTCAACATCAGAGAATTCATAATGGTGAAAAATCTTATGAATGTAAGGAGTGTGGGAAATTCTTTAGTTGTGGCTCACATGTTACTCGACATCTTAAAATTCATACTGGTGAAAAACCCTTTGAATGTAACGAATGTGGAAAGGCCTTCAGTTGTAGCTCATACCTTTCTCAACATCAGAGAATTCATACTGGTAAGAAACCCTATGAATGTAAAGAATGTGGGAAGGCCTTTAGTTATTGCTCAAATCTTATTGACCATCAGAGAATTCACACTGGTGAAAAACCCTATGAATGTAAAGTATGTAGGAAAGCCTTTACTAAGAGCTCACAACTTTTTCAACATGCAAGGATTCATACAGGTGAGAAACCCTATGAATGTAAGGAATGTGGCAAAGCTTTTACTCAAAGTTCAAAACTTGTTCAGCATCAGAGAATTCATACTGGTGAGAAACCCTATGAGTGTAAGGAATGTGGCAAAGCCTTCAGTAGTGGATCAGCACTTACTAATCATCAGAGAATTCACACTGGGGAGAAACCCTATGATTGTAAGGAATGTGGCAAAGCTTTTACTCAGAGCTCACAACTTCGGCAGCATCAGAGAATTCATGCTGGTGAGAAACCCTTTGAATGTTTTGAATGTGGAAAAGCCTTTACTCAGAACTCGCAACTTTTTCAACATCAGAGAATTCATACAGATGAAAAACCATATGAATGTAATGAATGTGGAAAGGCATTTAATAAATGCTCAAACCTTACTCGGCATCTAAGAATTCATACTGGCGAAAAGCCCTATAGCTGTAGGGAATGTGGGAAAGCATTTAGTAGTGGGTCAGATCTCATTCGTCATCAGGGAATTCATACTGATGAGTAATAAAAATTAAAACTTGTCACCGCCTTAAATATTTTAAACATAAAATGTTTAAGAGTTACCTTTTTTCACTACTTTTGTTTCTTATTACATATACATATTTTTCAATCCAAGCATGTTTCACTCTGCATTATGAATTCAAATTCCAAATTGGCATTTACACCCCCCCATATTGTACTAATTGCAGATATTCAATAATATTTTTCTTTCCCATTACTTTGTTCTACTTTCTTGTTGTTAACATTATATTCTTTATATTTGTTTGTGTTTCAGGGCTATTTTTTTCTGATCTGCATATTTGTGCTTACACCAATATTACACTGTTTAAATTGTGTGACCTTGTATGTTTTAATTCCTAGTGGAAATTTAACTTTGTTTTTGAAGTCAGTGTTAATCTTTTTGCCTAACAAATTTATATTATAAAACAAAACAAGAAACTAAAAAGCCAATATTAATCGTAATGATACTAACTATAGATGACTACTCTCAAGTGGTAGAACACATCCTACCAGACTTTGTCTTTAAAGAAAGTGTAGTCATGGTCAGTATATCATACTTTCACTTGCTCTTACTGTGCCAAAAAATATGATTGCCATTTCAGCAAATGTGGATTTTTATTATTCTTAATGACATATATAATGGCTTTTTAAATCGACTTTATTATCCATGTTGAATTTAAATGTTCAGTTATAACATCTGCCCTGATTAGTAAGACCCAAAATATATCTTTGTATGCTTGCTTTTTATTTTAAAACATGTATTTTAATTGCCTAAATTATCCATGTCTTCTCCTTGTAAACTGTTATGTTTTTTTTCATCAATCCTAATCCCAATCTCATAGTATAAAGGTAATTAACCACTATTATCAAAGTGTTGTGTGTCCTTCCAGATATATTTTTTCCTTTTTTTGATAGATGTTAGTGGCATTTTGTTTCATGTTTTATTTCATATTATAGTAGGTATAATTATGCTCTGTGTTGGTTGTAAGGATTCAGTGAATGAATAAATTTAAAGTATTAGAACTATTTCTCTGGCATAGTAAATGCTTAGTAAAAATTGTCTATGATCATTCATATACTAATTTTCATAATTATATTTCTTATTATTTATGGGAAGGATTTTAACCACATTGTTTACTTTAGTATAAATAAAAGAATTTGTAATGAAGAAAAGGGAAATGAATGTAATGCATATAGGGAAGCTCTTTTCATCACTCATTGAGCATGGAATTTTAAAAGGACAAGAGAATGTATGAGTAGTCTTCATTCAGACTTTATCTTTTATGCTGCACAAAGATGAGTTGACCAGTCTGAAACCTTGTGAATATAAAGATGGGTAGTTGAAAATACAGCTACTTAAGAAGTAGGAAGAGATGAGAATACTTTTTTCTAATAATTAGTACCCCTAAAAGCAGAAAATATACAGGCCAAATTATTTGACCAGAGTGACAGAGCCATCAAATATTCAAATTTTAATTCAGTGCCCCCTTTGATCAAGATGGGTTAAAGAACTAAAATTTAATTTTTAAAAATGATTTTATTATTTTTTGAGAGAGGGGAGGGGAAGGAGAAAGAGAGGGAAACATCAATGTGTAGTTGCCTCTCATGCGCCCCCTATTGGGGACCTGGCCCGCAACCCAGGCATGTGCCCTGACTGGGAATGGAACCTGCAGCCCTTTGGTTCACAGGCCGGCACTCAATCCACTGAGCTATACCAGCCAGGGCAAGGAACTAAAATTTTAATATACACATTAGTTAAATGTGAATAAACAAGAACAGAGTTGAAAAACCTGGAGGGGGCAAAGTTATATTGGAAGTTTTATAACCCAATATGCATATGTATATTAAAATGCTAGGAAGATCATTAATAAATCAAGATAGAACCCAAGGAGCTAAAACAAGCAAAAAAATTGAAAAAGTGTAGAGAAAGGCATTATTAGTTATAAAATGCAGAAATGAGTGAAAGAAAAAGTAATCTATAGAAAATTTTATTATTTGACTTAAAAAATAGACAAACTTTAGTGATTCATGTGAGGAAGAAAGAATGACAAATAACATTGTGAATGAGAAGTTGAATTGACAACCTATTTAAATTTAAAAGGACTGTATCTTTTTCAATGACGAAAATGTTCTGGTATTAGTGCTGTATGTTGCATAACTTGGTGAATATACCTAAAGCCACTGAACAGTATACTTTAAAAGTGTGAATAGAATGATACATGAATTTTATCTCAGTTAAAAATTTTAAAAGTTAATATTATGGACATTTTTATAATATATCTTAAAATCTGGACAAACCCTTTTATTTTTATATAGAAATTAAATTGATAGTTGTAAAATCTTAATACTTCTCTCCAAAAGGAGCATTTTAAAATTAAACCAAAAAAATACTTTACAGTGTTTTGTTTCCACCTTTCAAATCTGCAGATTCAGCCATCTGTTGTTGGTTGTAAACAGTATTTTTGCATTCCAAACCATAGATTCCCAACAGTTCACTGGGAATTCCTACCAGATATTTTTTAATTCTGTTTTGTGTGTGTGTGTGTTGTTGTTCTATTACAGTTGTCCCCTAACAGATTTTTGATCCACAGTTGGTTGAATCCACAGATGTGAAGGGCCAACTTTAGTTAAGTTTGAGAAAAGTCAAAAGTTATATGCAGATTTCTAACTGCAGGAGGGTCAGGACTCATAATCCCAACCTTGTTTAATGTACAGCTGTATGTCCAGAATCAGTTATGAAAGTGTGATATTGTAAATAAGCAAATCAAATCTATTAATCAATTGAAAAAGTAAATATTTATCACAATCTGAATTTAGGAGCAAAGTGTTTCTTTAGACATGATACTCTCTGAAACTTGGCAATGAAATTGATTTAGGTAACACAGTATTTAGTGTCTGAACTCTGAAACTAAGTAGATTTTGAAGGAAAGGATTCTTGGGATACAACACAAGATAATTCACAAGGAATTTCTAGAGTTCAAATAACTAAAGCACTAAAAATGAAAATTTATCATTAAGCCCTAATATCTTCTAGAGCAGCCTTTTTGTTCTTAGCAGTATTTGACAGAATGGGATATATTGATAAATAAACGAGTTATCCTACCTGCTGCATTATCACTGCATTTATCCATATATCCTGTCTACTTCTCACTTGAAAACATAGGCAATGAACCTAAGCATTGTCATGCATTTTTTTTAATTTTTTAATTTTTTTCTTCAAAAATACAATACTCCTTTTCTGGTTTTGACTTCAAACATAGCATTAAGGTGATGTGGGTATTAGGTTGTATAGAGTTAATATTTCCCCAGAGGACAGAAATGGCTGAATTATAAATAACCTCTAGATTTTTTTAGTGAACTACTTCAGATAAATCATATTCATACAGAAAAGTGCAAAAATCCTACATGTACAACTCATTAAATGATTACAAATTGAACAAACCATGGTAACTAGCCCCCAGATCAATAAAGGTAACATTATCTTTAGTATGAGGATGTAGTGAGAAGTGGGAAAGAGGTTATTAAAACAAGAGCAGAATTTAACTTTAATTACAATTAGAATGTAGAAGAATATGAAAGGTCTTTTATTTCCATTACAGCACAAAAAAACCTTGATAAGATAAAAATCATACTTTGGGGCTAAGAGTGGTGGAGACAAGGAAGGCTTGAACTGAATTCCTCATAGAAATAAACCCTTTATAAGGGGACAGATTGCTGTGTGTGTTTAAGTATGGGTATGGATAAAAGTGGATGAAGTAAGCCTAAGAAATAAAGAGACTTTGCAAAGATCGAGAAATCAGTAGAGCTTAAAATGGTACTTAGGAGTGTCTGGACGGATTAGATGGGTGTCTAACCTTATGGTGTCTCTGGGCCACACTGGAAGAAGATGAGTTGTGTTGGACCACACATTAAATATACAAACACTAACGAAAACTGATGAGCAAAATGAAAAAAGGTTTTAAGGAAATTTACGATTTTGTTTTGGGCCACATTCATAGCCATCCTGGGCTGCATGCAGCCCATGGGCCACAGGTTGGACACCCCTGGCTCTGGAAGTGCTTCAAATGCTATCAAACAACCTCACCTAATTTAATGGGACTTTAAACCATAGGATACACCTGCTTTTATAGGGAACACTAAGATAGACTACATGTCGGGTCACAGAACAAGAGTCAACAATGGCCAAAGAAGTAACACAGATTATGTTCTTAAAACTAAGTAAAACTCAGTGATTCAAGATATATAAAAAGTCCTCTTTTCATTCAGATGCTTGTTAGTCTTAGCTTTTAACTTTAGGTGAGTGATTCACTTGGAATTAGTATTTTTGTGTGATATGAAATATAGATTGAGGTTTGTTTTTCCTCCTCATATAGGTGTTTAGTTGTTATTTCACTTAAAAAAAAAAGAAAACCTTTAAACTGAGCCCTGGCTGGAGTGGCTCAGTGGACTGAGTGCTGCTCTGCGAACCAAAAGTTTGTGGGTTCAATTCCCAGTCAGGGCACATGCCTGGGTTGCAGGCCAGGTCCCCAGTAGTGGGTGTGCAAGAGGCAACCGCACATTGATGTTTCTTTCCCTCCCTTCCTCTCTCTAAAGATAAATATTTTTTTTAAAAAAAGACTTTAAATTGAGTTGTTTTGGCACTTTTATCAAAAATAAAGTAACCATAGATGTATACCATTATATTATGAATGTAAAATTGTAAAATGAGACAAAAATACTTTTTCTAACAGTATCAAAAAACATAAAATACTTAGAAGTAAGTTTATTAACAGATAGGAAAGGTGTTTTCATGGAAAACTATTAAACATTACTGAGAGAAGTTAGACAAGATCTTTAAAAGTAAAGATGCCACGGCTGTGGATTGGAAAAATCAGAATACTTAATAAAGTTTTTCCAAATTTATCTGTTGATCCAATGCCATCCAAAACTACCAGCATGCTTTTTATTTTAAAATTTATAAAATTATTCTAAAATTATTCTAGAAATCCAAAGACCTAGAATGGC